GGTTCCTGAAAAAGAAAAGAAGGCGTACATACGTGTTAAGTCACTTTATGGACTAAAATAAGCACCCAAATAATGACATACAAAATTTGACCAAATAATACTGTCAAATGGTTTCAAAATTAATGAGTGTAAACAAATGTGTTTATATTAAGAATACTTCAAGTTATGTAGTCATTGTTTGAAATAATAGAAAAGATACATGAAATATTTGAAATGTGAAGGTGTTTAGCTTATGCATGATAAAAGCTAATGTTAGACGCAATGTCTATATTAATTAGAAGAACTTTGATATGGTATTTAGTAAATTCATTACTTGCTTAATCTTAGTGATGACTAGATGATGAAATCGCCAATCCAATGTTGTTCACGTGCCTTTCAAGAAAGGATGTATTCTTTCTTGAACATTTATGAAAGGGAGTCACCTAGAAAGTTGTGAATTTTTATTAAAAGATGTGTTTGAATGTTTTTGTATAGACATAACCATTCATGAACGGATGTATTAATACGTTGGTCTATAATGTGGTGAATCAACTGATGAAAATAATAATAAAAAAAATCCATAGCAAGTTGGATATTTTTCATGAGAAGGTGCTATAATTTGCACATCATATAGACCTGTATTGCATTTTGGAATAAGAATAAATAGCATACAAATACTAGAAAAATGCGGAGGGAGTGCAAAATATGTTATATATTAAAAGGTCGTGGACACAACCGATGCCAATCATTCCTGTTATTGTTATAATATAATATTGCTATATTAAGTGTAGTTAATAATCTGATATGCAATAGAAAGTCGAGACATATTAATCTACGACATAAGGAAGTTCACATTGAACTGTAATGACAATGAAATTAGTTTTGAGATATTTGAAATAGTCAAAATTATGACTTGTATTACAATAAATATCTCACGGTAATGGGGGGTATAGTGATGCAAATTAGATCATCGATTTGACTATTTTTTAAAATCCATAAATGGATATATTTTTACAAACGATGGAGGAGTGGTGTCTTGAAAATCATCCAAATAAATGTGCATTGCTCGCTTTAGAATTGAGGCTGAGTTTATAGCCTTAGACTAGGCCAGTGAAGAAACAGAATGGCTCCGAAATTTCTTAAAGACATTCCATTGTGGCCCATTTCGTTGGCACCTATATGCATATATTGTGATAGTTGAGAGATCATAGAAAGGGAATGAGACTATGGCCGATGACAAGTCATTGTGGCGGTAACTGTACCTAGAAGACTGGAAATTCCAAGATCTAGGTTCAAGGAGATCAAACAAAATCATTAATGACGGTTCAACATTGTCAAATAAAATTTTGGTCCATTCTCATGATGAGACAATATTCAGTACCAAGGATAAAACGTTAAGGCTTTTTAATGGTTTCTAAATTTGATATGGGGTATATCAAATAGTGTTTCTACGGGATGACACATTTAGGAATCACCTTCATAAGTGTGAAGTATAAGTCACTTCAAGGAGAATTCTGTAAGGCCAGTTCTCTATGCGCTTATGAAACCAGGCGGTTTTCATGGCTGAAACAAACACAACAATGAAAACCAAAAAAGGTTAATGATTGATTGTATGACTTATGGTTGTCTAGGTATACACCAAAGTTCAACGGTTTAAAGATATCAAATTTACCGATTGACCGAGTATATCCGACATATGTTCACTACGAAAAGTTCAAAGAGAAACCTACTTATCGAGATGCAATTAATCCTAGCTTGCCAGTTTTCATGCATGTTTTTATACATATGGCCATTCCTCATTCATGTGGGGGATTGCTGGATTTTTTTTAAAGGTGAGAATGGGAAATGGAAGAGGCACATTTTAGTTTGCACCTTTTCATCTCACCCTTTCGTTGTCTATAAATTTAGAGGCTTGGCTTCGTTTTTATACATGGAAAATCTTAAAATTTCTCCCATCTTTTCTGCATTATTGCATTATTTTCAAAATAAACATAAGTGTCAGGTGTGATTTGCTCCATTTGTTGGGTTCGCTAAAATTCTGTGATTTGTAGTGCCGCTATCACAGAATAGCTATTTTGTTCTATCGTGGGAGGAATTAATCCAAAACCTTGGGCAATAACGAGGGGCTTAATTTTCTTAAGGACACACAAGCAACTTGTGGGCTCGAAATTATTTTTTATTTTATTTATTGAATTAACGTTTCTTTGCTTCTATAATTTTCTGGTTTTGAACACGGAGTACCAAAAAATTTCACTTGTGGTTCAACCATGAACCAAAAAGATGAGCGGAAACTTATAATCTATAATTGTGGTACATACATGGAACACATAGAAGTGACATAAACCAATGCCATGTTATCATATAGAGCAAGCAGAGAACTCTTTGTGTGATGAACTCATGTAAAACAACTCCATTTATACGAGTTGCAGAGTCGTGTAGGTTGATATAATTAAACTCTAGATATGATAAGCACATCAGCTATGACACAATTTAAATGTCAGAAAATTCATCTTAGAAACAAAAAAATATAAAAGTTCTCTGCAGTTTTCATCATGCTATACTCAATAGAAGGTACAACTTTGTCATGCTAATTCAATAGAACGTGCACAGATAAAAATTCAAAAGTACATGAGAATTTTGGTCAATATTTGCCCCAAAAAAATCATCTTCAGTAGGTGAGAAGCTCTTGTTAATATATTGATGAACTGCTAGAGTCTCAAATGATACAAGAATATTTCTTTAATTCCTGTTGTCTTCTTATATTTTCTCTCATATATGTCATAATATGCATTTTATCGGCAGGAATATTACTTTGTTTCATGTTGTCTTCTTAGATTTTCTCTCATATGTGTCATTATATGTATTTTATATGCAAGAAATTCTTACTATGTGATGGTAAAATGCGGGAACTTAAATCCTTTGGCTCAAGATCACGGAAAGATAGCTGCCCAGAAGATCACATTGTTAATAAAGGGAGTAGAAGATTAGGAAGATCAAGAATATCAGATTGTTGATGAGAGACTTGGTTTACAACTTGATGTTTAGTTGTCTTGTACATAATGTTACTTGCGTCTTTTACTAGTCGATATATAAGTTGGTGTTCTGAGTTGGATAAATCTTGTTTTAACTGAATGATATTGTTTTGACTTTTGAGATTGATAGTAAGAACCTTCTAATTGTTTGCTCTTATGGTTTTTGTGTTTTATGCTACAAAATAGTACTTAGTTAAATAAGTAGATTAAGGTGAATTTATGATCAATTTAGCTTCCACAATAATTGCTACTAAACAGATCTCCTTTAATGGCAATTGATGCATTTTTAACGGCAATAACAAAAGCTGTTAAACATGTTTGGATAGCACATTTCTAAGGCAGATTTACTGGAAATAACAATTGCCACTAATAATATTTACTTTTAACTGCAAGAATATGATCCTTTACCAACATTTGACACAATTGCCACTAGAGGCTTTAGCGACGTTGGATACAATGGCACTAAATCAATTGCTGGTAAATATTTTTGCGTCAATAACTATTGCTGCTAAAAGCAAAATATATTGCCACTAAAAGCCTCTTTTGGTGTAGTGTATGTTATCGAGCACAAAACGTAACCGTTGGTACGCGTCTCACGCGCACGCAACACTAATGTTCTCAAACCTCTTTCGATGAGTGCTCCGACCACCGTCGGGAAACTAGCAGCGAGTGGACACATCTGAATGATCCTTCGAGCGGTGCAAACCTATCAGGAGACTCAAAATCTTCATACGTCAATACTCTTACTGGTCCGAGGCAGCAAACTCTGAGATTGCCTTATCACCCACCGGAACTCTACAAAGTCAAGCCTATTGTTTTCTTCTCCCCACAGGAAGAAGAGGAGATAGCTAAATTGTGTCGATTAACGGTAATCGAAAAATTCTCACATGGAAAAATATTAATCGGGGATATTCGCAGAGATTTCAATGCAAGATTTTTGATGAGATGAGCTGTAAAATTAGGGTATTACAATGCCAAACATATATTCATCGATTTTGCAGAAGAAGAAGACTCAATGGGTTTTATTATTTCAGAGACAAAGTTACAATCTTGGGATTTCCTATGAGACTAATGCGGCGGACAAAAGATTTCAATCAAGAAGAAGAAACTACTCTAGTCCTGGTTTGGATTCATCTACCTAGCCTTAAATGGCACTACTACAACTGGGATGCTCTGAAGAGAATCACCTCTCCTATAAGTACCCTCCTAACTATTGACAAAGCTACATCGACTAAATCTTGGACCAATTTTGCTAAAGTAAAGATAGAAAGTGATTTAGCTGTGCTGAGACCGGATTCTATTTGGGTGGGTACAAAGGATGAAAATGGTATTAAGGGTGATGGTTTTTGGAAAGAGGTGTAGTATGATTTCGTTCTTGATTATTGTTTCAAATGTATGCATCAGGGCCACTCTGAAGATGTGTGCTATTCTCAGAATAATAAGAATCAGAATGCCAAGACTTATAAGAAGAATCAATATAATAAGAGTTTTGAAGTGTTTCCTGATAAGTAACAACAAAGAATTGAGAAATGGAATGATGCAAAGACTTAAGAGCAAGGGAATATAAAGGCTAAACAGGCACAAGTTAATGCAAAGGTTGTTCCTAATAAGGAGGTTCTCATTCTTAAGAACCTGTCAATGTGAATGGCACACAACAGTTACAAACCAAAAAGCACATTGCCAAGAAACAAACTACTAACAGACAAAAGATTCAAAATGGTCTTAAAGCTAAGAAGATGAAATGGATAGTGAGACAAAAAGGGATCAACATTGATCAACAAAAGCAATCCGGTGCTAATGAGGAAATAAAAAATATTTTGAAGGGCAATAATGTTGTTGTGGTGACTGCACAAAAGGATAGCCAAACTTTGGTACACATGCCGGAAGCCATAAATTCTCCTGTACCCGTGGCTAATTCTTTCCAACATCTGTCGCACCTGAACGAAAATGAGAAATCTATTGAGGTTGTGAAGTCTGCTAAAAAAATAATAAAAGTAGTTCCAAGGAGTTGGAGTCCAACGATAAAGAAGATAATTTGGCACAGAACAAGGTGGGGTGAGAAACATGTTGAAGCATGCTTATCTCCCTAAAATACTGTAAATGATAGTTCAAATGCTATAACCACTTATACAGAGGTGAATAACATGACACATCTTAAGGTTTCTGAAACACATATCACAAACAACTCCAATATGGTTTCTTCTAACCCCGAAGTTATTAGCCATACTGTGACTAAAAAGATAAGGGCATCACTATTGGTGTACACCTCTGGGGTCCTCAAACATCAATGGAGAATCTGCAATATCAATGTGAACAGAGGAAGATCAACAATGGAATACAAAAGGGTGACAATTATTGTAGTACTAGCCAACAAATACCTTAGGCGGAGAAAGATAAAACTGGACCATTAATGATAACAACACATGGTGAGTCCGATGAAGACAACACTAGTGAATATGCATCTGATGAATCCGATGAAGACATACATGAGAAAGGGGAGGAAGAAGACAAATATGAAGAGTGCAATTCTACAGATGAAGAAGAGCTTCTAAATGCTTTTGCTCTAAGAACCTCATGGAAATACCAGTCTGGAGAGATTGCAGTGGAAGAGCAGACAAAGGATCTCATCATGAGAGAGAATTTATCACCTAGGCAAGGTGAGAAAAATAAGAAAAAAGAGAATAATGCTACTGGAGGTCTCTCCCCTGTCACTAGGGCAAAGATCAAAGCCAAACAAATTGTTCCCCAATCTCATTCATTTAATGATTAGTTCCATTATATGGAATATTAGAGGGACAAAGTCCAGGAGGATTTTGAAAGAATAAAATTCATATCCAACATGTACAAACTCCAATTTATTGCTATCCAAGAACTATTTGTGGATTCTACTCACATTGAATCCTATAAAAGGATGTTGGGGGTTTGAAAATTGTCAATCTAATAGCAGTGGAAAAATCTGGATTTCCTGAAATGCACAACTCAATGCTACTATTTTTTATGAAGATAAGCAACAGGTTTGTCACAACCCAAATACCTAACCAGTCGTGATGGCGCCTATCGTGGAACTAGGTAAGCCGAAATTCTCAATATGCTTTCAATGTATAACAAAAGTGAGCTAAAACAATTAAACTAACTGAAGGTTTACATAATAACGGGGTAAAAACCCAAAATATAAGTGCGGAATGATAGCCCGACATCGGGGTATCACTAAGTCATGAGCATCTAGCAACCAATCTAGAAAGAAAGTGTACTACAGTCTGTGCCAAATGCCAATACAAGAGAGAAAAGATAATAAGAAAGGAGAAACAAGGACTGCGGATGCCGGCAGCTACCTCGTAAGTCTCCGATAATCAGCTCGCGCACGAACTCAGCGACCGCCAGAACTGTACAAAACTAGATCTGCACATGAAGTGCAGGATGTAGCATGAGTATAACCAATTCATCAAGTAACAGAAAGGAACTGAGAAGCAGTGATGAACTATAAAAATTACAGATCATTTCAAAAAATTTCAGTAAAGAGTGAAGATGCTTTCAAATCCGGTGGTATATGTCAAATCAGTTCGAGCTCAAGTAAAACAGATTTGAATCTTCCAGAAATTTCACAACAAGTGCAACAATAAATAAAAGCAAGTACAGCCTCTCAAGGCAGCAGTCACTCAACCCATCTTAANCTGGATGAGTACAAGACAACAATTAGCAGTCAATTCAACAAGTATACGACCGCTGCGGGTCCCAACAGTGATAGCATATGGCTTAAGCATGGTTTCTAACATGAAAGGCAGTCAATTGCTCAAAGACAAGGAAAACAAGTAATAACAATGGCTATTCGACTTTACAGTCTCACGGGACGAACCAAGTCACAATCCCTCACGGTGCACGCTCATACGCCCGACACCTAGCATGTGCGTCACCTCCAAATATTCACATCATACCAATTCTCGGGGTTTTATACCCTCAAAAACAGATTTAAGACTGTTACTTACCTCAACCGCCCAGAAATCCTATTCCGAAATGCCTTTGCCTCTCGAATTGACCTCCAAATTCCCCGAATCTAGCCACAAATAATACGAGATAATCAATATTGGATAAAATGATCAATTCCACAAGAAAACTACTAAATATAGTCCAAAATCTGAAATCGGCTCAACCCAGCCCCCCGGGCCCACGTATTGAAACCCGACTAAAGTCACAAAACCCGAAAGCCCATTCACTCATGAGTCTAACTATACCAAATTTATCAAAATCCGACCTCAATTTCCCCTCCAAACCCTAAAATTCACTCTCCAATTCCCAAGACCTAATCTCCTAAATCTCACCTCAAACACTCACCAACTAGGTGTAAAAATCAGTGGGGAAACACCATTATTGAAGATACATAGGCACAAGGAACTTACCTCAGTGATTACTCCGAAATCTCACTCAAAATCCCCAAAATCCGAGCTGAAAAATGATGAAAATGGTGAAAAATCTCGAAGTCTTCTATTTATAGGTTCTGCCCAGATTTCTCGCACATGCGGCTCCATTTCCGCATCTGCGGAGCCGCATCTGCAGAAAATCACTAAAACACTGCCTCCAGTCCTGCGATCAACTGATCGCATTTGCGCTCTTCGCGGGTGCGGGAACTACATCGCACCTGCTGTCCAAACTCGCACTTGCGCCCCTAAATCCGCTTCTGGGACCATCGCAGGTGCGGGAATGCCATCGCACTTGCGTTCTCTGCCCAGATCCTCCTTAGCCGTATCTGCGGCTCCTCCTTCGCTTCTGCGGGCTCGCACCTACGGTTCCCACTCCGCAGGTGCGGTTAGACCTGTAACAGCAGCTTTAGTTGAAATTCCTCAACTCCTATCAAGCCGTTAACCACCCGAAATCACCCCGAGGCCTCCGGGAACCTTAACCAATTATACCAACAAGTCTTATAACCCGATACGAACTTAGTCAAACCTTTGAATCTCTCAAAACAACATCAAAATACCAAATTACACCCGGATTCAAGCTTAAAGAACTTCTAAACTTCCGAATTTCACAATGACGCTGAAACCTACCAAACCACGTCCGATTGACCTCAAATTTTATACACAAGTCAAAAATGACACCACGAACCTATTCCAACTTCCGAAAATCTAATCCGACCCCGATATCAAAATTTTCACTGCCGGCCAAAATTGCCAAAATTCTAACTTTCGCCAATTCAAGCCTATTTCTACTACGGATCTCCAAATCACATTCTGGACGTGCTCCTAAATCAAAAATTACCTAACGGAGCTAACAGAACCATACAAATTTAAATTCGTGGTCATTTTCCCACAAGTCGGCATCCGGTCAACTTTTTCAATTTAAGCTTCCAATTAAGTGACTAAGTGTCTCAATTCACTCCAAAACTACTCCGGACCCGAACCAACCAACCCGGTAAGACATAATACAACTGTAAAGCACAAAAGAAGCAGAAATAGGGAAAACAGGACTATCTCTCGAAACGACCGGCCGAGTCGTTACAAGGTTACACGTCAAATGATCTAGAGAGCGGAGGACTCAATTTTGTGGATGACTATTGTCTATGCCAAAACTAAGAGAATTCTAAAAACATTTCTGTGGGATAGTTTGACACAATGCAATCAAAGTATCAATGGTCCTTGGTGTATCTCTGGTGACTTCAATGTCATAATGGAAGCTGAGGAAAAGAAGGGAGGCGTACCTCATAGGACGAAAAAAAGTTAGGAATTTATCTCATGCATTAAAGAATGTGGCATGGTGGATGCAGGGTTCAGTAGACCTAGATTTACATGGTGTAATGGCAAGGGTAATGGCCATATAATTTGGAAAAGATTGGACAGAGTTTTACTCAATCATGAATGAACCGGTTTATTCCCTAGAGAATGAAATTGTTCACTTGGCTAGTACAGGCTCAGATCACACTCTAATGCTTATGAAATGTGGTGCTCTTGATCATAATTTTATCAGATATTTTAGATTTTTAAATTTTTGGGTTGATCAACCTAATTTTTTCATTGTTGTGCGGCAAGCCTGAGACAATGAAATAGTTGAAAATGTTATGTAGAGGTTCCAACAAAAAATGAAGCAGGTTGCTAGAAAATTGAGCATGTGATCCAAAGAGTAAATTGGTGATATTTTTCTGAATGTTAAAGAATGGGAGCACAAAATGATACAATTAGAGATGCAATACATTGATAGTGAGGATGAAGAACATATGACAGAGTTACATAAGGCCCAAACTCAGTACACTAGGTGGTTAAAGGCGGAAGAAACTATGTTGAAACAAAAGGCAAACATTAAATGGCTTGAGGAAGGAGACTCTAACAGCAAATATTTTCATGCCATTATCAATGAGAGAAGGAGAAGACTGACACTTCACAAGATTAAGACTCAAGATGGACAATGGCTTCAAGGGACCAAGAGATTGCCACTGGGACAGTTGAATACTTTGAAAATCTGGGACAGTTGAATACTTTGAAAATCTTTTAAAAAAAGACAGCTAACCTCTCGATTTACAATTTTTGGATATCATTGACTCTGTCATTACTTTGGAAGAAAATGATAACCTATGTGTTATTCCTGGAGAGAAGGAAATTAAAGATGTAGTGTTTAGTATGGATAAGAACAGTGCCCCAGGTCCAGATGGATTTGGTGGAGCTTTCTATCAGGGATGTTGGGAGATTATAAAGCAAGGTCTAGTTGAAATTATACAAACTTTTTTCAATGGGAATAGCCTGACCAGGTTTTATATCAACTCTTATTTGATTCTACTACCTAAGGTGGAGCACCCTGAAATTTTTTCTGATCTTTGACCCATTATTCTTAGTAACTTTTTCACTAAAATTATTTCTAAGATAATGGGAAATAGGTTGGCTCCTATTCTGCCTAAGATTATTTCGGAAAATCAAAGTGGATTCGTTTCTGGTAGGCTTATTACTAAGAACATACTCCTTGCTCAAGAAATTGTTCATGACATTAATAAGGAGAATGAGGGGGGAAACATGATGATTGAATTGGACATGGCCAAGGCTTATTATAGGGTTAATTGGGACATCATATTAGCAGCTTTGAGGAAGTTTGGTTTCTCCAAAGCATAGATTGACATGATATGGAGATCCATATCGAACAATTGGTATTCCATTCTTATTAATGGTAATAGAAAAGATTTTTTTTCATTCCACGCAGGGGCTTAAACAAGGTGACCTCCAATCTTCAGCATTATTCATTATTGGAGCTGAAATCCTTTCTAGAATGCTTAATCACTTGTCATCTAATAGTCTTTTCAAAGGTTTCTCAATGCATAGAACATGACCTCAGGTTAATCATCTAGCTTATGTTGATGATGTAATGATTTTTACTTCTGGATCCAAGAATTCACTCGATCTGATCATGCAGTAGTTGAGGAACTATGAAAAATGTTCAGGTCAATCTATTAATTATGGAAAAAGCAGTTTTTGGTGGCGCCTAATGCTGAGCCAAGTCAAATTGCTGAGATTAAAGAGATTACTCACTTCAGGCACACTGAATTCCCTATCACCTATTTGGGATGTCCACTCTATGTGGGAAGGAAAATAATTTCTTATTTTAATGAGGCTATGACTAAGATTGTGAGAAAGTCAAATGGTTGGCAAGAAAAATTAATATCTATAGGGGGAGAGCTAGTTTGATTAAACATGTTCTTCAGTCTCAACCTCTACACCTTCTAGCAGATATTGTGCCTCCAAAGACTATTTTTAAACAAATTGAGAAGTATATGGCCAAATATTTTTGGGGTACTTCTGATGGCAAACAAAGATACCACTGAAGTTGTTGGAACAATATGTGTTATCCTAAGAAGGAAGGGGTACGAGTATCAGAAGCTTGATTGATGTGAGCAACTCCTTCTCAGGTGGTGGAGATTTAGAACATCTAAGTCCCTATGGGCTGAATATCTTAAATTTAAATATTGTAGTAGAATACACCCTTTCCAGAAGAAGAAGAATAAAAAAAACTCACTCTTGGAAGAACTTTTTGGGAATTAGAGATCAAGCAGAGAAACACATTCTTTGGAGATGCAACGCTGGAGATATTAGTCGGATAATTGGCTAGGCATTGGTGCTTTAGCTTATATTGTCCAACTAGATCAACCTGATATGAAGAAGACTAAGCAAGTTAGGATAGGCCCTTATTTGCATTTTGAAGAACTGTAACAATTGCCTGAATATATTATTGAGTTAATTCAATCTTCCAAGTTTGGAGATCTTAATAGTGTTGATACTGCTATTTGGATTCCTTCTTCCACTGGTTTCTTTACTACTACATCAGCCTGACAAGTCGTTAGACAGTCAAGAGGCACAATCACATTACTTCAGGGAGTATGGCATAAATATCTTCCCTATGAAATGTCTTTTTTAATGTGGAGATTGCTTAAAAAAATTACCTTTTGATGATGTAATAATTTATTTTTGGTTAGCAAATTATTTTTAGGTGTAACTGTTGCAGGACCCTACAAATAGAGACTATGTTACACACATTTATCACCGGTGAGATGGCTCAAAACACCTGGAAGCACTTTGGTGCTCCATTGGGAATTCGTTGGGAAGATATGCCTATTCTTAACATACTTAGAAGGTGGTGGAACTCAAAATCTAATAACAAAATTACTTAGATCATCATCAAGATCACCCCTACAGTTATATGTTGGGAGTTGTGAAAAGTTAGATGTGCGTCAAAGTATGGAGGTATTAAAATTTCTTTGCTAGAGTTCAATTTCATGTACTTTCTCACTTGAGGTGGGTGGTCTCTAAGCATAACATCTCTATAGATGGTTTTGTTCCATGATATTTGATATGTGACAAGCTAAGAAATTTAACTGCTAAAATAATTTGAATTCATGTAAGCTAGGAAACGCCTTTATTTGGTTGGGCTAAGCTTAATACAGATGGTAGCAAACAAGATAATGAGATCATAGAGGCAATATGATTATGACATTCTCACAAAGTTTAGGGAGTGGTACTAGTAATATGGCAGAAGCTAAGGCTGTTTTGTTAGGCCTGCAATGGTGTCACTCAAACGGATATGATAGAATTATGCTTAAATGTGACTCCAAACTGGTTATCGATATGTTGAAGAAACCACCTTGGCATATCGACAGTATCATCAAAGAGGCACAACAGCTCATACAAATTCACAATATTATTATTAAACATTGCTATAGAGAATCTAATAATGTGGCAGACATACTCGCTAAATGGAGCTAGGGGTGTCAATGGATATTTAAAAATCGACTAAACCGAGTTTTAAGTTTCTTTTAATAAAACCTTAGGTTTTTATATAAATTTATAACCGTACCGATAATTAAGGTAGGTTTTTTATTTTGTGAAAATAAACCGAAAAAATATCGAACCGTACCGAATAAATTTACATGTAGAAAATATATTTATATATTATAAGTTTAAAAATAATAAAGCATTAAATTATTTTTTTGGGCATTGGAATTATAAAAATGGTTAAAAGCCAACGAGTAATTAAACTCAAAATCCTAATTCCCAAAACTATTATGCTACTCCTATTGAAACTAAATTATTTTCAGCATATTCGCTCGCAAGACACAAAGTATTCTAGCGATTATGAGTAGCATACTACAATGTATTGAATATGTTTTGTTTCGTATGATTTAGATTTATCTTTTTGAATATTTAATCTTCCATATACTTTATTCTTAAATCCCAACTTGGTTAATATCTTTTCATTCGTGTGATTTATATTTTCTTTGTCTTTGCTTAGTTTCTTTTATGCTGCTGTAGAATAGTTGATGGATCTAATACTATGGCCATCTTTCATGTTTTCTTAATTCATTATCCTTTAAACAGTAAAAATGTCTAGAGAGTTTTGTGAAGTCTTATAAACTATGAATGTTATTGCATTCTACTTCTACTAGTGATTTTTACCTGACATTTAAAAACAATGCCGAAAATTAATCGAACCGTACCAATATCGAAGAGAAACCGACATGATTGAGACGGTTTCGGAAAGTCTAATTTTGGTTATACATAATAACATAACCGAAAAATTAGTATGGTACAAATTTTATAAAATAATCGGCCGAACCGAACCATTGACACTCCTAAATGGAGCCATGAGATACATGAGACTATGGTCTTCAATGACATTAATCTCCCTAAGCATGCTTTCGGATATTATAAATTAGACAGGATACAATATCCTAATCTAAGCCATATAGTTGTCAAGAACCATTTTGTTGCGAGATGATAGTCTGCTTTTTGCTGTAAGGTAGCTAACTGTATTTGTATGCTTTTAAAGTGCTTTTATGTCCCCAACGAGGCAAAAAGAGTTTTATTTTCTTTTTGGACATATAAGCACATATAACAGATCTATGATCATATGGCTCCATTGTTGGATCTGTTATATGTATTAGATATGTCTTATTTGTAGATTCGAATAATGTAATTTATCGGGAGGTTTTGGTTTTATGTCCCCTCATATTGTACCTTTTCTTAGTTTTATAATAAACAAGGTAGGGGTCAATGCTAAACACCGTCACCACGCGGGAGGTGAAAGCCCGGGTGTTGGAATTAAAATTAAAAAAAATGTTATCGAGCCAACAAAGATATTACTATAATTAAAGTTGCAGAAGAATAAATGAACTCCATGCAAATGAACATGAAAACCCTCGCCAATACATTATTACTGAATTTTACACACTTTCAGAATCCATTTTTTGGGAGCGAAATACCAAAAACATAACAAAGACACAAACTCTTAGGATAGTTAACGTTTTACATCTCGAAAGAACAAGACTAGGGAACTAATTATTTGCATATTATCTCTTACCGTGCAGAATGGATCGGACAACAAAAGGACCAACATAAAAACCTTAGTTCAGACAAGAGGAGGACATATGAAACCAGGAGGAGGAGTTAAACCACAAGTTGCAAGAACTGAAAGTGCTAGTGGGAGGAAAATGTTAAGATTAAGAAGTTTAAGTCTTATTGTTGTGCATAGACAAATCGCAGCTTCTAGCTCTAGCAATCCTTGTAACACTGGGCAGCATATATGTTCCACTGGATTTCCTATCCCAATATGTACTAAGCCGCCAAGAACATCAAGACAAAGCCCAAGTTTTAATGCATCTATAGGACACGTGGCAGGCGGCGCTGGAGTAATACCCGGAATACCGCCGCCTCCTCCTCCGCGACCGGGTGCACCACCACCACCACCAGGAGGTGTGTAAGGTGGATATCCAGCAGAAGGTCCTCCGGGAGGAGTTGTTATTGGTGGTAAAATGCCAGGAGGATTGACTATAGGTGGTAAGATGCCAGGTGGCCTTGTGACCGGAGGTGTTACAACTGGCGGTGGTCTGACAATAGGCGGCAAAACCCTAGGAGGTGCTCCGCCGTGATGTGGTGGTGGTCTGGTGGTTGGTGGATACGGACGTGGCGTTGACGGAGGGTGGGGCCTACCAGGGGACTTAGGTGGATGAGGGTGACGTGGAGATTTTGGTGGATGTGGCGGACGTGGAGTAGTGCCAGGTGGACTAGGGCGTTGATAAGGTGGATAAGGAGGAGTACATGGGCATTGTCCCGAAGTTGCATAAGCTGGTGATAAACATATTGACATGAAAATCATAGAAATGAAGAAGATTGCTGAAATCTTTGAACCCATGACTTTAATTTTTGGGTTCTAAAAAGGATAGTTGCATTATTTTCTTATGTTCTTGGTTTTTGATATACACTATAGTTTAGTTTTTATAGGTGCATGGTATGTGCAACCCGTGAATGAGGGTATTTACTTGAAATGGAACTGAGAGAGCAACACGTTGCTGGAGGAATTCCAAAGTTTATTAGCTGGGAAATACTGAAATGGAAACTTTGGAGGTTTGTTCGTTCATCGCGAACTTCAATATCCAATCCGTGACTGCTTATTATAGTCCGTGAAGACGCAAGAGTCTCTTTTTATAGCTGTTTGGCAGGCTGTATCAGCTTATTTTGAGAATTTTTTTTCGAAAAAATATTTTTGGAGAAAAATAATTTGTGTTTGATTAATTAATTTAAAAAATATTTTTTGAATAATAATTTGTGTTTGACCAAACTTTTCAAAAAGTGCTTTTAAGTATCAACTTACAAATAAGGACATGAAAAAAATTTGCTTAATAGTTAATATTCTATAAATAGATAAATAATTAAAAATAAATAATAAATAATTAAGTTTTTTATTTATTTAAGTAAAATATAAAAATATTCTATAGTATTTTATTTTTTCAAGATAATTTAAATATATCAAAAAATCATTCAATAAATGTGAAAGTTCATTCCAAAAGTCATTTTATATTACTTTAATAGTTTAAACTAAACAAGATTATTTTGGTATATATAATATTTTGCAAAGGACATTTTTGGCAGGAAAAAAAGTCAAAACTATTTCCGCTTCTGCTTCTGTTTTCAAAAAGATACTATTTTTTTCTGATTCTTCAAAATTGTTTCCGTTTCTAGCCAAAATCACTTTTTTTTTTCAAAAAGAAACTTGGTCAAACATTTTAAATCGAGGAAAAAAGCACTTTTTTAAAGGAAAAAAAAAATTCTTTTGGCATGATGAAAATAATGACCAAACACGCTATTATTTCACAACAACTCCAGTTTCGCACAGATTTTAAGGCATTTGCTGTTTCTGTACTTTGATTACATAGTGTACTTTGGAGTTTCTATTTTTCTGTTTATATTTGTATTGTCCTACTACTGGAATGCTAAGCTTGAAAGGGGAAAACCTGATTTTCTTCTCTTTCATGCAAGATTCTCACTTCCTTTATTCTTTTCTTTTTATTCTTTGTTTATGATATAATCAAGTAAACAAAGTATTTTTTTTTAACAATTTACTTAATTTATATCATAACAGATATAAATGTTGTGGCATTAATTATTAAAAAGAATCTCCACGTACTTCTCATGAGAAATAATCAGTCTGGCACGTAAAGAGGCATACTGAAAACATAATTAGATGACACATTCGCTTGTCGAGAGTCAATTTGACTAAACCTTGAAAAAGCTTAAAAATTAGATATTAAAAAACTATACGAAAAGTACTATAAGTTGTTATTTTGCTCATGTTAATATGATTCGAAAAAATACATTTTAGAATATTGGTCAAATTGCACACAATTTTACAGATCTCGATAAGTGAAATGTGTCATCTAAATTAAAACAGATAAGTACTAATTTTTACGATTTCTCTAATAGTTTAAGCTTTTAGATAATGATACAGTCACACACTAACTTCCCTGAGCTTTAATTTTTTCCTATCTGTTCCTTTTCCCTAATATATCTATAGGTTTTAAAGTTTCGTGAATTATATATCCCTTCTGTCCGGGAAATCTAAGGTGCGTGTACGTTCTAAATTGAGCTTCAATCTGAAATATTAGCATAAAATCTCAGTTAGATTATAACTGTTGTTGAATAATTCTCTGTATACCTTGCTAGTAAACATAAATAAACAAATAAATGATCAGAGAGGTAGAACCAAAGAGTAAATAGTGGACTATTTGTCTAGTTCATTTCACTAAAGCATCATGTGAACCTTTGTTTTTGTCCTCCTTCAAGGTTTCAGACTAGCAAAGGGACAAAAAAGAAACCTTAATTTTGGCAAGTACACCGAAGACAAATAAATGTGACGAGAAAAAGTTGGTCCAATTATTACCACTCGATCTATTGACTTTTGCAATTTTTTAAAAATATATTTGATAGTTTTGTTTATCCTAAAAAACGGATAACAATAAAATTTATAAGTGATTTTAAAAATACGTAAATTAATTCGATACGAACGATAAATTGCGTTAGATTAAATAAATAAAGGTATAATAAATTCAAACCACGTGAGGAGGATAATTCCAGCCTTGATGAAATATCCACCCTCGACTCGGACTCACGATGACCAGCACTGATGAACGAGAATAAGAAGTATGAATAATAGTGAAAAAATAACAGTATATTGCTTTGGGATGTGTGTTACAATATTTCCAATGAATAATCAGACTCACATTTATATAGTAGGAGAGTTTTACCCTAAGTACAATTCTATAAAAGGTAAAAATCTCCCCTTTAACTGATTGCTAGATTCCCGTCGGTACGTGCCGCGATCTGTGCTGTGATACCCGGATGATCGCGGATATCACGGCCTTCCGTTAATCGTGTTCGATTGCCCAATAATTCTCTTCGAAGTCTCTTGAGATTTGGACCGATCCGGGGTCATGGCCTCGATATACTCGAGGGTGGGCGTCGTACCCCCGATGCCTGACTCGGTGAGTCCCTTACCTCAATTCTGGTTCCTTGTCATCGCGTTCCTTACTCGATTTATTTTATCGGGAACCGGGCCAGCTTATGGGTCCGGTTTCACCCGTATACGGATAGTCTCCTTGTTTTTCGGAGAGTAAATTTTACGAAAACGATGAGGAATGACATGAGTTCTTCGATCTCTTCTTCAACACACTGCGACCCGAAATGACAAAAAAACCGAAACGTCTCGCCAGTTGCGTCATAATGATCTCAAATACGTGTCAGTCGTCGGTTGGCTACCGAAAAGTCGTGGAACCCTATAAATATTCCCTCCTTCGTTCATTTTCCACTTTACGTCCAAACTTTTACCCTCGATCCTTTAAGATATTACAGTCTTTTTTTATCCCTCATTATTCTTACCTTCGTTACTCAAGATTCCTCAGTACGTTGCAAAATTTTTACTCACTACTCAAGCCAACACATCTGAGCTTTCAACTTTCTCCTTTTCTCTATCTTTTTCAAGTTTTTGCAGATAACAATGGCCAAAACCTCCAAATCTGCTAACATAGTAGATAGAAAATTGCGTACCTTCTTCTTCCCGGACTAGGACTCCACTTACCGTTATCTCGGATACCTCTAAGTACAAGTACAACTATTCATCTGCCTTCGGAGTATAAAGCAAAGGCAGGCTTGAAAGGTACCGCTTGAGTTCTTCCAAGGCTTATTGACACTCCGGGGTCCATGAGAAATTATTCCTCTTCTTCAATAACGAGAAGAACTGATGGCTCTTGTTGGAGGACCTTGAAATGAATCGACCCAAAGCGGCTATGCGCCCGATTAACCTTTGAACGGCCTTGACATTGTCCACCATGTAATGTCCTCTATGGCCTTAATTTTATCGGGGTTGATCTCGATTTCCCGGTTAGACACCATAAATCCGAGTAATTTACCGAATTTGACTCTAAACTTGCATTTCTCCGGGTTCAGCTTCATATTGTATTTCTTCAATATGTTGAAGGTTTCCTGCAAACGTTTCAAATGGCCCTCTGCTCGTAGGGAATTAACTAACATATCGTCAATGTAAACCTCCATCGATTTTCCAATTTGTTCTTTGAACATCCGATTACTAGGTGTTGGTAAGTGGCACCAGCATTTTTAGTCCGAATGGCATCATGTTATAGCAGTAGGTGTCATACTTAGTGATGAAGGACGTCTTTTCCTGGTCGCCTGGGTCCATCCGAATTTCGTTGTACCCGGAATAAGCATCGAAAAAACTGAGGATCTCGTGGCTGCCGTCGCATCGATCATGCGATTGATCTTTGAGCAGAGGGAAAGAGTCCTTGAGGCATGCCTTATTCAAGTCTTTTTAATCTACACACATTCTTAATTTATTCCTATTTTTAAGGACTACCACTACGTTTGCTAACTAATCCGAGTACTTAACCTCCCGAATGCACCCTATTTTAAGGAGTTTAGATACCTCATCTTTGATGAATGCATGCTTGACTTCGGACTGAGGCCTCCTTTTCTGCTTGACCGGGTAGAACTTCGGATCCAGACTCAACTTGTGAGTAGTTATTTTCGGTGAGATCCCTGTCATGTCGAGGTGGGACTAAGCGAAATAATCTATGTTAGCCATAAGGAATTTAATGAGTTTCTTCCTGAGCTCGGGATTTAACCTCGTGCCCAGGTATACCTTACGATCGGGCATGTGCTCGATCAATATGACTTGCTCCAGTTCTTCGATCGTTGATTTGGTGGCATCGGAATCGTCGGGGACTATGAAAGATCTGGGAACTCCGTAGTCGTCGTCCTCATCCGTCCCCTACTTCTCCGGTTTGGTCGGGGGTCGGTGTCGGTGTCGGTGATTGCTATTTGGTTCCTTCCTTGGTGACCAAACTCGGATCTTTTGGTGTAGAAAGTGCAGATATCGGAACCACTTCGTCGACTGCAAAGTTCTCCTTTGCGGCCGGTTGTTCTCCGTAAATTATTTTAATCCCTCCTGGCATTGGAAATTTCAACACCTGGTGCAATGTCGAGGGCACTGCCCTCATGTTGTGAATCTACGACCTCCTGAACAGAGCATTGTATCTCATATCTCTTTCGATCATGTAGAACTTTGCTTCCTGAACGGTTCCGACGGTGTTCACCGGTAGTGTTATCTGTCCTTTAGTGGTCTCACATGCCATATTGAATCCGTTTAGAACTCGGACTGCAGGCACAATTTGGTCTTGCAGACCCAACTGCTCTACGACTCTCGATCTGATGATATTGGCTGAGCTACCTAGATCAAGTAACAGATGCTTAACTCGAGATTTTATGTATGAGTATAGATATTACCAGTGCATCATTGTGTGGCTGCACGATGCCTTCAGCGTCCTCATCGTTGAAAGATAAGGTTCCTTCTGGCACGTAATCTCGAGTCCGTTTTTCTCTAGTGATGGACACTTTGGTGCGCTTTAACATCGGCCCCTGGGGGACGTCGACCCCACTGATGATCATGTTAATGACGTGTTGAGGTTCCTCTTGATCAATTTGCTTATTAGAGTCCCTATTCCTGATATGGTTTTTGGCTCGGTCGCTCAGGAACTCTTGGAGATGTCCGTTGTTGAATAACCGAGCTATTTCCTCTATCAATTATCGGCAATCTTCTGTTAT